GGTAGGTGTGTGGTGCAACAAGCTGTGTGCTTGGCAGATCTGAGCGTGCGAAAGAGAGAGCTGTTCGAGAGAGAGAGAGAGCGACGAGTAGGACTCCGCCGCCAGCGCGACCTTGGTCCTGCTCCCCCTCGCTCCCTCGCTCTCCTCTCCCTCCTCAGCTACCACCACCACCACCACCACTACCACCACAAGCACCACCACCACATGTCTGCCCCCGTCACCGACTCTGCCCCGGCCGTCGAGCCGTCGACCAACGGCACCGCTGCCGCCCCCTCGACCGGCGAGCACCCGATCACCCAGGCCATGCAGGCCACCGAGCACGACCTCGGCCACAAGGTGCGTCCTCTACGGCTCTACTGGGCTGTGCAGGCGGGGCGCACGCTGGACGAGCGAGGCGGGTGGGAGGGCGCGGCGAGGCGAGGCGGGGGACGCACGTCGTCGACGTCGACGACTCGACGATGGGGGTCTCGCAGCAGCGCAGGGTCGGTGCGGGCGACTTGATTGTGTGACTGGACACTCGCACAGCATTGTCCAGCTCTCACAGGCGGCGCCGTCGCCTATCTCGCCGTCGCTCCATCACCGCCCACTCCCCCCTCTCGACGCATGCACTGACCTCGCACCTTGGAGCGCGCAGGTCTTTGTCGGCAACCTGCCCTTCTCGGTCAACGACGACAGCATCAAGGACATCTTTGCCAAGGTCGGCCAGGTGTCAGTCCCTGCTCCTCTCCTCTCCCCTCGTTCCCACCTCCCCCCTCGCCCTCCTCGCTCGCCGTCCTCGTCGCCGCGATCCGACACGATCATCAGGTACTGACACCTACGAGCGCACCGTCTGCAGCACCGACGCCCAGATCATCCACCGCGGCACGAGGTCCCTCGGGTGCGTCGCACTCGTCCTCTCGACCATGCCCTGCTCCTCGCCTCGCGCGAGGCACGCAGCGCGTTCTCGTCGTACAGGAAGCCGCTCACACTCTCCCTCGCACTCGCACAGCTACGGCTTCGTGACCTACACCAACGAGGCCGACGCCGCCGCCGCCGTGTCGCAGCTCGACAAGAGCGAGATCAGCGGCCGCCAGGTCAACGTCGAGGTCGCAAAGCCCATGCCGGCCCCGGGCGCCATCGCGGCGCGCGCGGCCACCAAGGCGGCCAACTTCAAGGCGACGCGCGAGACGGCAAAGGAGGCGCAGCAGCAGCAGCAGGGCGGCGAGGGCGTCGAGGGTGTCGAGGGCGAGGCGGGGGTCAAGGCCAAGAAGGCGCGCAAGCCGGTGCGTGGGCGTTTTTCTCTCTCTTTGCCTCTTTTCTTCTCTTGCTGGGCACAAAGTTGGGTTCACGCGCTGAATCTTGCCTCCCTCCCCTTCCCTTCCTGCCCCCGGTCCGCCCCTCGCCCTCCATCCCTTCCTCGCTCCCTCCTGCAGCGCAAGCCCCGTGGCCCGCGTCAGCCCCGTGCCGACGACGAGACCGAGGAGGCCGGCGATGCCCCGTCGTCGACCAACGCCGTCTCGGACGCCGCCGACGCGCTCGCCGCCCCGCGCGCCGATGGCGACGCGCCCGCGCGCAAGCCCCGCAACCGCAAGCGCAAGGGCGCCGCCGCCGCCGGTGCGCTCGTCGACGGTGGCGCCGAGGGCGGTGCGCCCCCTGCGCTCGGCGACGCCAAGCCCGCTGCCGATGCGCCGCGCCAGCCGCGCCGCCGCGGCCCGCCCGCCGGCGCCCCCTCGTCGACCCTCATCTTTGTCGGCAACCTCAACTTTAGCGTCACGAACGAGTCGCTCGCGGCCGCGTTCGCGCCCGACTGCGCCGTCAAGAGCGCCGTCGTCGTCGTGCGCAAGTTTGGCCAGTCGGCCGGCCGCAGCAAGGGGTTCGCATTTGTCGATTTCGCGAGCCAGGAGGACCAGGAGAGGGCGCTCGAGCGGTTCCAGGGCAAGGAGCTCGAGGGGAGGCCGATGAGCCTTAAGGTGGCCATCCAGCCCGAGGAGGGTGCGCCTGCGGCCGGCGCGGCGGGCGAGGGCGAGGCCAAGCAGGCGGCCGACAAGGCGGCGGGCGACGCCAAGGTCGACGAGCAGAGCGGACGCACCGAGGGCGACGCCATCATCGTCGCGTCGTGAGGCGGGCACGTGTCGTCATCGTCGTCGTCGTCGTCGGTTGAACCTCCCTCGAGCTCGTGTACAGGTGCGTCCCCTGCTCTTCTCTCTTTTTCCCACCCTCCCTCTCCTCCCCTTGTCCTCCTCTTCTCCTCGACGGTCCTCCTCCCCTTCCTCGCCACGCCCTCTCACCCCCTCGCCACCTCGTCCCGCTCAACCTCGCCTCGGCTCGCCCTCCTTCCTCCCCGCCAAGAACCCCAAACTGACCTCGCCCTTTCGTCGCCCGCGCAGCAACAGTCGTAGCATAGCAGCAGCAAATCTCCTCCACTCTTCTCCCTTGTCTCTCCTCCTCCTCTCTCCGTCATCACCTCCTCCTCCTCCTCCTCGCTCTCTTCCCTCCCCTTCGTCCTCCATCCCGGCCTCGAGCTTTTTTTTGCCCCTCCCTCTCCCTCACTCCATGAGTCGAACGTGCCAAAAACGTGTCCCCTTGTCGAAGCCTTTCGAGCGGGCGGGAGAGGAGAGAGAGCGAGCGAGAGACGGGGAAGGAGCAGAGGCGGCGACTTGAGAAGGTCGCGAGCTGCGGGTGCTCGAGCTTGCGTGCTTTTTTACGCTAGTTCTGTGGGGGATGTGCAAGCTCACTCTCTCGTTCTGAAAGCTTTGCGCTCGAGAAAGACCGGGTGGAGCAGATTGCAGCGCTCGAGGCGACGGAAGACGGGGTTCGGCAAAGGAGGAGAGGCGAGTTTCGCGAGATGGAGGTCCGCAAGGAGGGCGCTCAACCACTAATCGAGACGTCTAGACGAGACGAGCGAGTGCCGACGAGCGGACGCCCTCGCTGTTGGCAAGTACGCCTCCTTGCCGAGCGACGCCTCCCGCTCGGACCGCCGCCGCTCCTTGAGCACCTCCCTCGCCTCCTCGCACGCCCGGTCATACTGCGCACTGAAGCAAACGGTGTAGAACCCGGGCTCCTTGCCCCTCGCGACCCCTCGCGCGACCCACTGACCGTGGAAGAAGTTCCACACGGCGAGCGACGATGGCGTCGACTGCGGGTTGAGCGCACCCGAGCGAGGGTCGAGCGAGAGGGCGCCGCTCGGCGGGTGCTCGGCGTACGACTCGAGCGGCGTGGGCGGCGCGACGGGGCGCGCAAAGTCCCACTGGACGCCGTGCCGGTCGAGCCGAGTGCCCGGGACGACGAGCGACAGGTGGTTGTGCTCGGCGGCTTGGCGCAGGGCGATACTTCCTGCGTGCAGAGAAAGCTTCATTAGCTCCGTGAGCCCGTGCTCGAGCGCGATAGACAGGAATGGCGAGGAAGAGAACGAGAGAGCGGCGTACTCGAGTCGAGTCGGTAGTGCCGCAGCATCCCGCCCGCCCCAATTTTGCCGTACGTGCCGCGCGCAAAGAGCTCAGCGCGAGGCGTACCCGAGCGCGGCGAGTGCACGACGGGCGAGGGCCCGGCCAGCGTCGACGAGAAGGGCCTGAGCGCGTCGTGCGCCGTCGGCGCCTCCCAGTGCGAGAAGGCGACGCCGTGGGGCTCGTCGAGGACGGGACGGACGCGGATGTCGTGCGAGGGGACGACGACGACACCGGGGTTGTTCTCTGTCGGGGCGTGCGAGCGCAGGACGAGGTGAGCGAGGCTCGTGCGCGAGAAGGTGAGGGCGCTTCAAGCGAGGACGCACTTGTGCAGTCGCCTTGCAGGAACACGTAGTCGCCGCTGCGGATCGAGTACGGCCTCGGGCTCGCCCACGCCTCGTGCGGGACGAGTTCGCCGTCGACGAAGAAACGCACGAGCCGGTTGACGTGGTCGGCGAGGCCGTCGTCGTACGCCTGCGGCGGTGCCAGCGGCGAATCAGTCGCTGCTCCGCAGAGCACCGAGTCAAGGGACGGGACGCACAGTCTCCATGCCGGCCTCATGCGTCTCCCAGTCGAAGGTGGCCGGCAGCTGCGGGTGAAAGTGCCGCAATCGAGCGACGAGGGCGCGCACAAACTCCTTGTCGTCGTCGTCGAGCGTGCTCATGCTCGCGAGCGTCTCGAGAAGGAGCAAGCGCGAGCTGAGCAGCGACGGGAACCGAGAGAGAGAGAGAGCGACGCGAGCGAAAACGAGCGGCGGGCGACGTCTCGGACATTCCGCCCGGCGACCCCGGTCCGCGTTCAGGAGCGTGAAGCATCGGGTGAGGAGACCGAGCGACGGGAAGCCGGGCTCCCATGGCTTGGAAGCGGTCGATCGAGACTGCAAGAAGTGAGGTTCCGTGCGGGCCCAGCTGCGGCGCACAGATCGTCACTTGGGAAGGTCCCGCTCGCGCTCGTCGTAAAGCGCTCGCGGACTCTGCGCATGCTGCAGGTGACCGTATAGTTCGACTGGAGAGAGGGGGGGGGGGGACACGGATCAGCAGGGAGGCTCGAGCGAGGCGGCAGTGTCGACGCCAGTCGGACGACGAGCACGAGAGCACGCGAGGACAGCCCGCACGCATTCTCACTTTGCAGTCGAGCGCTCTCGACCACTCTCAAACTCTCGCGAGGAGCGTGGGGACAGTTCTCGAGACGAAAGAGGTACAGAGCGACGCGACAGCTACGTGTGGATGGATTTGGGGGGCAGCTCGTTGCCGTCGACGACGATCGGCTTGGACGGTAGGAGGACGTACACCATGCCTGCGCGCACAAGCCCGCCTCGAGTGAGTGACGTGCGCTTCGAGCGAACAGGAGAGAGAAAGGAGGGACGCACGAGCCCACTCGGTCTCGGAGGCGTTCACCCAGGCATGGTCGGTCCCGCGCTGCACGACAAGGTCGCCCGGCTTGACGGGCGTCCTGGACCCGTCGGGCAAGGAGAGCTGTGCAGGAGGGAGAGCGAGTCAGATGGACTGTCTCGAGCGAGAGAGAGAGCTTGAAAGCGCACCTCGACTGAGCCGAACAGGACGAATCCGTAATCGAGCGTGAGGGTGCGGTGCATCGGCGAGACGTGGCCAGGCGGCATGTCGACATAGCGAACGACCGACCCCTCTGCGAAGCAGGAGAGGGCAAGATGAGCCGTTGAACCGGCAGAACTCGAGAAGAGAGCGAGCGGCGCACCTGTGTTTGCGAGCTCGCCGATTGGAAGGTCCTTGCCGTCGACAGGCTGCGTGCGAGGGCCAGAGTCAGGCTCTCGCGGATCGGGAAGACGTAGAGAGGGGAGAGAGTGGGAGCGCACCGTCTGGCAGTCGGCCGGGCTCGTGTTCGTCGTCCACGCGAGGCCGAAGCTGACGCCGTCCGAGAACCCGGGAGGAGCCTTGTTCTCGACCTCCTCGTCGATCCACACCTTGGCCGCGCCACTGTCGTCGTGAGTCGTCACGACGCGGCGGATGAGGGGGAGCGGGTTGATGGCCATGGTCGACGCGCGAGTCGAGGTTGCGAAAGCGAGCGAAGGTGCGGGGTGCGGAAAGAGGTGCGGGGAACGCAAGCGTGGGTGGGCGTGCGAGCCAGAGCAGTTGTGCTGAGCGAGGCGCGGCAGCAGTGGTGCCGGGGCGCAGCGGTGGACAGTGGGAGGCGCGACGAGCGGTTCGGGTGGAAGTGGGAGGCGCGCGCGCGCCGGCCGAGTGGTGGGGGCGCACCGGCCGCCGCGCAGCTCCTCTCGCGCTCACTCTCCTCCAGGCCGCTTCTGCTCCACGCCAGCTTTACGCTCATCAGCACCACCATGACCGTCACTCCGACCGTGCCCGGCTCGAACGCCATCCGCACCACGACTCGCCTCGACAACCTCGTGTTCGACAAGAACGTCGACATTCCGCTCAAGGACGGCGGCGTGTGCCGCGCCAACGTCTACCGGCCGCTCGAGGCGGGCCGGTACCCGTGCATCCTCACCATGGGTCCCTACGGCAAGGACGCGCCGTACTCGCAGTTCCACGTCAAGAGCTTCCGCGAGATCCCGGACGACCAGAAGGGCCCGCTCTCTGCCTGGGAGACGCCGCACCCCGATGTGCGTCCTCCTTCCCCTTCCTTCGTCTCGGTCTGAGGCAGGGTCGGGGGAGAAGGCGGGCTCTCGAAGTACTCTGGACCCGCGCGCAGCCGAGCGAGCGAGGACGCTGGACCCCTCGCGGCGTTGTTCTCTCGCTCACCTTGTCTTCTCGCCCTGCAGTACTGGGTCTCGAAGGGCTACGTCGTCGTGCGCATCGATGAGCGCGGCATCGGCTCGTCCCCGGGCTTCCTCGACACGATGTCGGCCTCGACGTCGAGCGACTTTGCCGAGTGCATCGAGTGGGCGGCCGAGCAGGACTTTTCGACGGGCAAGGTCGGGCTCCTCGGCATCTCGTACTACGGTGGGACGCAGTGGCGGGTCGCGGCTCGCAAGCCCAAAGGCCTGACGTGCATCGTCCCCTGGGAAGGTGCGTCCACCCTCTTCCTCACCTCGCGGCCTTTCTTGCGGCAGCCTCGCGGTCCGAGACTAACGAGCACGACGCTCTGTTGTCTCTCTCATCGACAGGAATGACGGACTACTACCGCGACCGCGTGCGTCAAGGCGGCATCCTCGCCAATTTGTTCGTTCACTTTGTGCGCCGACTTTCCTCTCTTTCTCTCCTTCGCGAGCACAGGCTGACACCTTGTGCCCCTTTAGTGGTGGAACAACCAGGTCGTCACGATGCAGCACGGCAACGGCGAGAAGTCGGTCCGTCGCTGGGGTGAGTCTCTCGTCCTCCTCCTCCTGCCCTTCCGTTCCTAACGCACTTTGACTAACTCTTGCCTTTGCCCGTGCCTCCTCTCTCTCTCGTTCAGGTCCCAAGTCAGAGATCGGCGAGCCTATCGGTGCGTCAGTCTCGCTCCCTCGCATGCCGGCCGCGTTTTGACGTCCCTCTCCTGCGCTCAGGCCCCGAGTGCCTCGAGGGCGTCATCCCGCCTGAGCAGCTCGCCAAGTTTCGTCGCGACCAGACGATCGACAACAAGGAGCACCGCTTCCTCGACGAGCCGTACCACGCGAGCCGCACCTACAACCTCGGCGACATCGACGTCCCGGTCCTCAGCGTCGCAAACCTCGGCGGAAACACGCTCCACCTTCGCGGCAACGTCATGGGCTACCTCGAGGCGGGCACGTCGAACAAGTGGCTCTGGTTCATCAGCGGCCGGCACGACCTGCCGTTCTACTTGCCGCACTACGTCGAGCTCCAAACGTCCTGTGCGTCCCTTCTCTTTCGCACTTCCTCCCTCTCTCTCTCGCACCTCGTCCTGATTGGCCAAAATCTATCTTTGCTCTGCAGTCCTCGACGCCTGGCTCAAGGGCGATGACGACCGCGGTTGGCTCCAGGGCCCGAACGCCGACGGCGGCGTGCCCGCCGTGAACCTCCTCGTGCGCAAGGGGAACCCGGGCTTCAACTCGACGGCGGCCGAGGCGACCTTCACGAGCAGACCGGAGCGCTCTTGGCCGCTCGAGCGCACCCAGTACGCCAAGTACCACCTCCACTCGGACCTCTCGATGCGGCGCGACGAGCCGGCTCGCGACAAGGGCCAGCTTTCGCTCGCCGCGCTCGGCAAGAGCGACCCGCTCACCTTCGAGGTCACGTTCGACCGCGAAACCGAGCTCGCCGGGCACCCGCTTGTCCACCTCACGGTCGGCGTCGAGAAGCGTCCCGACGGGTCCGCGCCCAAGGACCTCGACCTCTTTGTCACGCTGCGCCACCTCGATGCCGACGGCAAAGAGATCTTCTACACCGGTCCGTCTCTCTCTCCCTGCCTCTCGCCCCTCTCTCGTGCCTCTGCTCGACCGCCTTGACTGACTCGGGAACCCTTCTGCGACGCAGGCACCGCCGGTGACCCTGTCCCGCTCGTCAAGGGCTGGCTTCGCGCCTCTCTTCGCGCCATCGACACCTCGTCGCCTCGTCACCGCCCCTACCTGCCCTACCGCGCCTACCGCAGCACCGACGTGTCGTACCTCGAGCCCGAAACGCCGTACGCGTGCCTCGTCGAGGTGTGGCCGACGTGCGTCGTCGTCGACAAGGGCTCGAGCATCGTTCTCGAGGTCGCGACGGGCGACACGCAGGGCGCGGCTATCTTCCTCCACAACGAGCCGACCGACCGCGACGAGGAGACGTTCGCGGGGACGAACACGGTCTGGCTCGGCGGCGAGCACGAGAACTGGCTCCAGCTCCCTCTTGTGTAGACTCGGTGTATTGGACTGCGTTCGACTCTATCTCTCGGACTTTGGAAGCTCGTTGCTCTGTCGCAAAAGTCGTTCCTCAGGCCTCTGTCGCTCGCGAGACGCCGCATGTGGCCTACCTGCTCGACCCTCTGTCCCTCCTTTCCTGCCGACGACTCTGCCTTGTCCGGCCCTGCTGAGCCTCTGAGAAAGAATGCGGCGAGAGCGGTAAGGCTCGAGCGCACAGGCTCTCGCAGCAGCTTTCGCGGCCAAGTCAACAAGGAAGCCCTCTCGGTCATGGCCATCTGCACGCTCGCGACTGCTCGCTCGCTCTCTCGCTGCGTATGAATCAAGCTAGTCGACCCTGACGCCTCTCGAAAGCAGAAAAAAGAAGGGAAGAAGCCGCTCTCATTGCGAAAGAGGGACCGGTGCGGCCTTCTCAAGTGAACAAGACGGCGCAACTCAGACGTGCAGATTGCCCTGCCGACTCTCCTCCCTCGCCAGCATCCTCTGCAGTACGGCGACAAACGTCCTCCCGACCCTCCACACCGGCCTCGCGTCGAGCACCTTGACGACGGCCCGCAGTGCCGTCCTCGCCGCCTCGTCGCCCGCGAGCTCGACCGAGCCGGGCATCGTCGGGCTCGCGATGACGGCCGCGCCGCCGAACGCGACCCATGCCGACGCCGTGTCGTCGAGGACGGCGTCGAGCTGTACCGCGCTGGCGGGCGCTTTCGAGGTCGAGGTCGAGGACGAGAGGGAGCCGGTGGACGGCGGCTCGGACCAGGCGAGCGAGGCGTCGGTACTGGGCTTGCTCGAGCGCGCGTACAGGTAGAGGGCGAGGCCGGCGTAGAAGAGGGAGGCGGGCTCGTGCGTGCCTGCGAGACAGGAAGAGAGAAGAGTCAGGCCCTGCGCGCCTCTCGAGCTCGGCCCAGAGAGAGAGAGAGGGAGAGGGGACGCACTGTGGGTCGGGTAGTCGCGCAGGACACACAGGAGCTGACCCGCATGCAGGGCGAGCGTGCGAGCGTGCTCGGTGTGCGTGTTGAGCATCTTGACCCAGTACTCGCGCGCCGTGTCGGCCTCGCCGTCGCCCGACTTGCGCGCGACGGCGTCGAGCTCGTCGAGCGGGACGTACGTCGCGATCTGCGCGAGGTGGTACCACGCGCGAGGTGCGGCGTAGTACGCCGGGTCGTCGGGCTGGCCGCCCGAGTTGAAGCAGGGCGTGAACTCGTCGGCGCCCCTCGCGAGGCGGCTGAGCGAGCGGCGCACGTGCGTCGTGATGAGGTCGGTGTTGGTCATGCCCGACTTGCGCAGTTGGTGGACGTGGAGGAGGTTGAGGTGGAGGGCCTGGACGAGGACGCTGCGGGAAGGACGAGTCAGTGACCGAGGACGAGGCTGACGGGCAACACGACGACGTCGAGGAGAGACACAGAGAGAGAACGAGAGGACGCACTGTGCAGCAAGCGGGCTGAGCGAGATGACGGCCGGGAGCGGTGTCGCCGAGTCGGACGACAGGTGCTTGAGGACGACCGAGATGGCCACGGGCTCCCGCACGCTCGCCTTGACCTCGAGCCACGCCTCGGCGGTTGGCGCGGTCCACAGTCGTTCGTCGCACGGGAGAAGCGTCTGGAGGAGGCTGCTGTTGATGCAGGGGGCGGTGCGGAGGAGGACGGCCGCCTCGCCATCGAGTACTGTCGACGAGGAGGACAAGGAGGTGGTCAGACGGGCGAACTAGGCTCACAATCCGACTCGAGGGGCTAGAAAGAGAAAGAGGGACGCACAGTAGCACGACATGGCGGTCCTGCGCCGCTCCTCGTTGGCGACGAACGCCTTCCACTGGGCCGCCGGCGAGTCGTCGCTCGGCGAGCGGTTCTGCGACTCGTTGAAGACACGCTGCTCGCGCAACATGGTCGTGTGCACGCTCGCAAAGGCCGAGGCGAGCTCGATGGTCCTGCAGGACGTACACGAGCCGAGGCGTCAGGGCTCGGCTCGACGCACAAGGAGAGTCTGAGGGATCGGAGAGGACGGACCTTGCCGAGCCGGTCCAGCGCATGACGGACCAGAGCATCTGGGCTTGCGCCTGTGGGAGACGAGCAAGGGTCAGGGCGCCTGACCGGGTGTGCTTCGCGAGGCGGCGACGGGAGAGGAGGAGAGACGACGACGCACGACGGGCAAGCTGCGGGCGAGGCGGTTGTCGCGGTTGATCAAGTGCTCGATGCCGCGCCTCGCGACCTCGACGAGTGCGCGCCCGAGCTGCAGGGCGCCCGAGATGGGCGCGTAGACGGCGCCGATGCCGAGGAGGATGAGGAGGAGCTGGCCAAGCGTCTTTTTCGGGTTGAACGACGGGACGTGAAGGAGAGGGACGAGGGGATGGAAGTGGCCGAAGTAGAGCGAGAGCAAGAGGTCTGCAGAGAAGGAAGGGTCAGGTCGTGTGGGTGAATGAGGGACTCGAGCCGGACGGACCGAATACGGGCAACGGGATGCGGGCCAGGGTGCTGTACAGCTGTTGACAAGGAGGCACGCAAGTGTCAGTACGGCCGGGACGACGAGGACGATCGAGAGGGAGAGAGAGAGAGAGAGAGAGACGCACGGCGTGGTACTCGTCGTCGGAGAGTTGCGAGAACCGCAGCGTCTCGAGGAGCGCGATGCGCACCTGCTCGTCGCACGTCGGCAGCGTCGGCCCGCGCCCGTCGAGGACGACCGGAGCGGCGAGGATCGACATGGACGCCTCGCGGTCGAGGCGGACGCCGCTCTCGTGGCCCGTCGGCTGCCACGCGAGGCCCCACTCGCTCGCCGTGCCACCGCCGCCCTGCGCCGCCGCCGCCGCCGCCGCCGCCGCCGCCGCCGTGCGGGCCGTGTCTCCCTCGCCGTCGGCTGCGGCGGTGGGCGACTCGGGATGGGGCGAGCCGTGTCGGGACGGGAGGCCGGCGGCCGTGATGAGGATGCGCGGGCGGTACGAGGGCGAGGCGGTCGAAGGGGGCGACGCCGGGTGCGCGAGGTCGGCGACAGGCGGGATCGAGGTCGACGAGCCGAGGCGGGCCGGTGACGGCAAGGACGCGGCCGGCGACTGGAGGAACTGGGACCAGAACATGTTGTCGTCGGTCGGGAGGAAGAAAGCGGCCGACAGGTCGTCCTCGAGCGTGGTCGTCCCGGCCGACTGCTTCTGGAAGACGAGGTTGAGCAAGTTGTCGAGCGCCGGGCTCGCTGCGGATGGTTGCGCGGTTGACGAGCCGGGCGCGGCGAGGTGCTGGACCGCAGCAGGAGCGGGCGCGCTCGAGCTGGCAAAAGTCGACATGCCCGTGTGCGTCGAGTCGAGGCCGCCGTCGATCGGGTACGGGAACGAGTGCATCGGCATCGAGGAGCCGAGGTCGAAGGTGGACGAGGAGGAGGGAGGGAGCTGGACGTGGTCACTGCGGGCCGCGAGGCGAGTGAGTCGATGGCGCTCGAGCGCCTGAATGTGGAGGCATCAGGACGCACTGGACACTAGAAACGCTCGTGCTTCTGTTCGGCAAGGCCTCGAAACTCGGTGCGGCCTGGCCGACGTCCTCGCTCTGCAGGCGAACGCGTTTGTGCGGCCGGGTTGACGGGTCGGACGACGCCGTCTCGTAGTCGCACACGCGCGAGAGCTTGCTGCAGCGCTCACAGGGTTGGCCACCGTTGCAGCGCACCTGTAGGTCAAAGAGACACAGGTCAGTGCCGCGGTCTCGAGCGAGTTCCGCATCCTCGGACGGGAGAGACGGCTCGGGGGGAAGGGGAGGAAGACGAAGGCGCGAGCGCGGGACGAACCTTGGCCGCCGCACAGGATTGACAGGCTGTATCGTCCAAGGAGTCAGTACCGGCTCTAGAGGTCGAGAGAGGCGAAGGACAAGAGGGCGCACCTTGAGAGACCCTTTTGGCCAGGCCACCGCCGTCGCCCGTCACGGTCGCCTCGCGCGAGTGGATCTGTGTGAGGCGGCGAGGGATCAGCGACATGCCCCGAGAGAGAGAGGATTGGAGACACGAGGCGCGCGCACTTTGGTGTGCCGGCGGAGGACGTCGCTGCGAGGGAGGAGGAGGGGTTCAGCTCGTGGACGTCGGTGCTGAACGACAGAACCGCGGGAGCTCGCTCGACCGCAGAGAACGCACCTCCGAGCAAATGCCTTGCCGCACTGTGTGGACGAGGGGCAGGTGAGCAGATGATCGCGCAGCCGGGAGGAGGTGGACAGGAGCGAGGGACGCACCTCCTTGCACAGGTAGCCGGCGGGAGCCGTGTGGGTCTTGACGTGGCGCTCGAGGTGCTCAATGCGGGCGTACGACTGGTTGCATCCAGGCTGGTCGCACTGCACGAGACGAGCGAGGTGAGCCCGGGGGCGACCACGAGCTGATGAGGGGCGGGCAGCGGGGACGCACTGTGTGGATGCGAGCCGGGGCGGGGGCAGTTGCTGTCGCGGCTGGCGGTGGTGCTGGCTCGGGGTCGTGCACCTGCACATCGGCCATGGCGGTGGGTGGAGCGTGGCTCGGGTGAGGTGGGAGGACGACGACGAGAGCCGGCCTGTGGCCCCGGTCGATTCGAGGGGCTCCGGCTCGCTCGCACAGCCCGGCCACAGCGCTCGACATGTCGCACGGGCCTGTACCGACCGTCGTGGACGCTGCGGTGCCGTCCGCTCGCCATGCGCTGTCTGCGGCCGCGCTCGGGAGAGGCTCGACCGCACGGCGCCGACGCTCGCCTTCTCTCAGCTCTCGCTTGCGCTGCCACGAGACACTGGCTTCGAGAGCTCGCCGTCGCTGCACGTGTACTGCACGCTCGAGCATCGAAAGAAGCGCCGCACGGCAAAGTGGAAGAGAGCGCGAGGACGAGCTTTCCTCGCACGAGCCGCAGAGGCCAACACGCGAGAGGGACGGACCGCGTTGCAAATATTAGCTGCTCTAGATCCGGACAAAGGGCAGGATGACCTTGCTCGGGTACTGCGCGCCAAAGTGGACGACGTGCCGCCCTTTGTTGAGCGTCGACTCGGGCGGGAACCTGGTCGTAAAGTGGCGGATCTCGTGGTTCATGTCGTGCCCGCCGCCAATCTCGACGCGCAGGCCCTCGCCGGCATCGTACTGCCACCCCATGGCCCAGATGCCGATCTCGAGCCGCACGACCTCGCCCGGCGCGAGCTTGTCCTCGTGCGAGTGCGGGTGCCACGGCCAGTTGGGGTGCACGTTCTTGCGCTCGTCGATGTCGCGGTGCGACGCGCGCAGGACGCCGAGCGAGCCCGGGTGCAGGAGGAGCGACGTGCGGTCCTTGGGCGCGATGTCGGCCTGCGACGGTGCGAGGGCGCGCGCGCGCGGGACCGTCATGTGCTGGAGCGTGTTGCCGTCCTTGTCGAGTTTCTTGAGCGTGACGTACACGTTCATGTCGTCGTGGTCGTCGGTCGACATGTAGACGACGGCCTTGGGGATCCCGACGAGCTGAGTCGGCTCGTCAAAGTGGATGTCGAACGCGACGACGTCCTTGCCCTCGCCGCGCGACAGGTACGACACGCTCGACGCCGCCTCGGGGGGCGCCGACTCGACGAGCTTGCCGTCCTCGCCGAGGTACAGGTCGCGGTAGTCGGTGTCGGGCAGGGGAAAGTCGGCGATGGGGATGTTCTCGATCGCGTCGCGGTCGCCGCCCTGCAGGAGCGCCCACCGGACCTTGGGCGTCTTGGCGACAAAGTCGTTCTCCTTGCCGTACAGGTAATGGTCGAAGAACTCGAGGAGCTCCTGGTTCGACTCGGGGATGACGTAGAGGTCGTGCCACTCCTGCAGGTGCGCGACGACGACGACGACGAGCGTCAGGGTTCCGTCTTGAGGGGCTCAGGGGATGGTGGAGGAGGAGAGACTCGAGGACGCACCTGACGACCGGACCACCGCAGCCACTTGGGCCCTTGCACCTCCCAGAAGCCGCGAATCGAGCCCATGGTGTGGATCGACGAAAAGTCCGAGCCCGAGACGTAGCACGGGATCTTGATCTTGGTCATGTCGACGCGCTTGTCGGCCCACTGCGCACATCAGAGCCGCGAGGGAGAGAGAGTGAGAGAGAGAGAGAGAGACGCGTCAGGTCCAGAGCTGGCGGGTGTGACAAGAGAGGAGGACTGTCGACGCACGTAGGGCGAGTGGAGCGGCTCACGAGCGTCTGTGCGGTGCGGATGGAGTGGAGGAGCTTGTCAGTAAGTGTGCGCAGGTGCGGCGCGAGAAAGAGATGGCGGAACGAAGAGAGGCGGGGAGAGACGGCGGAGGGGGGGGCAAGAGTAGAGAGAACGAGGGCGACGCACACATCTCGGCAAAGTCCTCGGTCCCCTTCTGCCCCTTGATGATGAGCTTGTTGATGAGATCCATGTTCGAGCTGATGACCGAGATGCCGGGCGGCCGACGAGATCGAGAGAGAGGGGGAGCGAGTGAGAGGGTCCGAGGGAGGTCGAGGGTGCGCGAGATCGGGTTGCAGAGGGACAGGGAGCGAGGACGAGTCAGTACATGTACGAGGGAGAGGTGAGGGAGTGGGAGAGAGAGAGAGAGAGAGAACGAGCGACGCACATCTCGAAGATGCCGCCTCGGCAGAACTGCTCGCTGCGGACGACGGCAAGAGTGTCAGGACGGCGTACAGGCGCGATGCAGCGCGTGACGCACCGGAACAGGTCGCCGCAACCCTCCCAGGGCGCGATGGCCTTGAGCGACGGTGGCTGTTGTGCCGCGATGTGCCACTGCGAGATGGCGAGGAACTGAGGGGCAAAGACGGGCGTCAGTACGAGGCTTGGAGAGGGCCGTGCGAGGTCGCGAGGGGGAAAAGGACCACGCCGCCCGCCATCGAGAGCTCGGCCGGTGCGGCGCAGAGAGGATAGGCCGAGGCAGAGAGGCAGAGAGAGGCAGACGACGCACGCTGTTGCCGGCCATGCCGACGTTGCCGTTGCACCAGTCCATCTTTGCGAGCGCCTCGATCACGTCGTACCCGTCCTCGCCCATCCTGCGGCCCATGATCTGCACCTCGCCGTCCGAGTGGCCCGCACCGCGAATGTCGACCGACGCGATGGCGTACCCGCGCGGGCACCACGTGGCCGGGTCGAGGCCCTCGAACTTCTCCCATCCCGAGAGGTCGCTCGACAGGATGCCGCAGCGCCAGGTCGTGACGGGGAGCATGTTGATCGACGAGCTGCGCGAGGGTGCGATTGATCGAGAGAGAGAGAGAGAAAGAGAGAGAGTGAGGGAGGGAGAGAGGGTGAAGCGCGAGGGTGCGAGTGACCGAGAGAGAGAAAGAGAGAGAAAGGGAGAGAGGGAGGGAGGGAGAGAGGGTAGAGCGAGGTGAACGTCGGAGAGGACGAGGAGGACGGGACGAGGCGAAGGTGGACGCACTAGCGCTTGCCGTACGGGGACCACATTACGAGAAGCGGCACGGGCCCAGTCGCATCGGCCGGGCGGTAGATGTCGGTGTAGAGGGTGGCGCCGTCGCGCATGGTGAGGGCGACATCGTGTTCGAGGAGGATGTCGCTGTCGAGGGCCTTTGTGCGCTCGCCGTCCCAGCCCTCGCGAGTCGAGCCCTTCTTGAGGAGGGTCGTCTCGCCTGGCTTGAAGCCGTCGTAGCCGTTGACGCCGACCTGGGGCTTGCTATGGTTCAAACACAGGTCAGGTGGGTTCCGGCGAGGGCTGCGAGGTGGGGACTCACTCGATGGGCTTGTAGGCGATCTCAAAGGGTGCAGTCGACATGTGCGACTGGAACGAGAGCGTGTAGAGTGAAGCAGAGCAACAGCATGGCGGACAGCGAGAGGCGAGAGAGATGAAAGCCGGGCCGACCGCCGGCCGGCTGCTCCCACCTCCTCCCACCACGCCTCACCCTCGAGCAACGAGCGACCCCCGGATGGCGTCCCACCTCTGCTCCCTTGCCTCCTGCAACCCGCCTCAGCCAGCCCCGCCAACTCCCACCAGCACACAATGGCCTCGCCGTGGCCTCTCGCCATCCCCACCGACTCGCACTTCTCGCTCAACAACGTTCCCTTTGGCGTCGTCTCGCGCCGTCAAGATGGTGCTCCTCGCGTCTGCGCAACTCGCATCGGCGACCACGTCGTCGACCTGAGCCTCCTCGAGGCCGAGGGCCTCCTCGACGACGCGCTCGGCGGCGGCGACTCGAGCTCGCAGCGCCGCGTCTTTGATCAGCCCACGCTCAACGCCTTTGCGGCCCTGCCCGTCGAGACGAGGAACGCCGTCCGCCTCGCCGTCCAGACCCTCCTCTCGCCCGCCTCGTCGACCCTGCGCGACAACGCCCAGCTGCGCGAGCGCGCCATCCTCCCCCTCGACGCCGTCACGCCGCACTCCCGCTCTCGATCCCCGACTTTGTCGACTACTCGATCTTCCCCGCCCACGCCCTCGGCGCCGGCCGAGCCATTTTCGGTCCCGACACACCGCTCCCGCCCATGTTTGGCGTCCTCCCGATGGCGTACAACGGGCGCGCCGGCACCGTCTCGGTCGACGAGGTCGTCGTGCGCCCCCAGGGGCAGGTGCGCGCGTTCTCTCCCGGCCGCGAGGTCAGCATCGGCGCGAGCAAGGCGCTCGACTGGGAGTTTGAGATTGTGCGTCCCCCCCCTCTCTCTCTCTCTCTCTCCTCGCCCCGCTCTCCCACTCTCTCTCGGGATTCCGCGAGCGATTTTTGAGACGGTCAGAGCAGGTCCTGACGCTGCATCGCCGACACAGGGAGCCTTTGTCGCCAACTCGACGCCATCCGGCTCGACCCTGTCGCCCTCGTCGGCCCAGTCGCACATCTTTGGCTACGTCCTCCTCAACGACTGGTCGGCGCGCGACATCCAGTCGCTCGAGATGGTCCCGCTCGGGCCCTTCAACGGCAAGTCGTTCGCGACGACCGTCTCGCCCTGGGTCGTCCTCCCCGCCGCGCTCGAGCCGTTCGAGGTCGACAAGGAGGTGGCGCCCGAGCTCGAGGGCAACGAGGCGCCCGAGTACTTACGCGAGAAGGCCGGCGTCAAGTCGGCGTACGACCTCGAGTGCACGACTCGGTTGCGCAGTGCGTCACCGTGTCTCTTTCTCTCTCCTCCTGCCTCGGCACCTCCCCCTCCCTCCCTCGCTCCCCCTCGATGCCCTCGTCGAGACATGCTCGACCCTCAGAGCCCCATCCCTGACCCCGCTCTCTCGCCGTCGCGCACAGCCTCGTCCGACCCCTCGACCGCCGCGCACCTCATCAGCACGGCCAATTTCCGCGCCGCGCACTGGTCCTTTGCGCAGCTCGTCGCGTACCAGACGTTTTCCGGCGCGCGCCTCCAGACGGGCGACCTCCTCGGCTCGGGCACCGTGTCGAACCACGGCGAGCGCCGGCAGGGGTGCCTCCTCGAGCTCGCAAAGGGCGGCAAGGAGCCGCTCGAGCTAGAGCTCGGCGGCGGTGGCGGTGGCGGGGCGGGCGGTGAGCGACGCGCGTGGCTCGAGGACGGCGACGAGGTCGTGTTCTGCGCGAGGGCGGGCCCACAGGGCTCGGGCGTCGGGTTTGGCGAGCTGAGGGGCAAGGTGCTCCCGGTGAGCGCGCTCAGGGCCGCGTGAGCTCGTCTCTCTGTCCTTGTCGTAGCCTGATAGAGCGCCTGAGAACCCGATGTCGTCGAGCAGCACTCTATGAGCGTCTCAACGAGAGGTCCTTCGCGACGTTCGACGGGCGAGAGAGGGGCGCAGTGCCGGGTCGCAAAAAGTCTGAAAGCAGGCCCGAGCGTTCTCCTTGAGCGCTCTCCTCGAGTACGGCGCGATCACCGACGCCTGCGTGCGACTGTGAAGGCTTGAGGCACAAGCGTGGGCGGAAGAGCTTCGACGCCCTGGCGAAAGCTCAGGCGCTCGAGCCGCTTCGGTCGCGCCCTTCCTGCCCTTGCGTCCGGCGCTCTCTGCTCACTCTCTGTGTCTCTCGTTCACATCCTGAGTCACTCAAGCACGGTCACTGCACATGCTCTGCCTGAAAGAAGAGCTCGACGACCCGCCAGCTCTGCTCGTCGACCTTCCCAAGTTGCACTCGACGGTCTTTGGCCCAAACCCGACACGCCCGTCACGCCTTGATCGGCGCCCACTCCCCCATTTGGAACTGCGTCTATTAAGGGAGAGAAACTGAGGTCAGGTCGACGCGTGGGAGAGAGAGAGGAAGCCCGAGAGAGAGAGAGAGGAAGACCGAGAGGACTTGGGACGCACGTTGCACATCTGCTCGAGCTCCCACACCTCGGCCGGGCTCGTGTTCTTGGTCCCGACGTCGTCCTGGTCGCCCGCGGCCCCGGCGCAGAACAGCACGGGCGCATAGTGGTCGTCGGTGCCATGCGCGTCGCGGAACAGCGGGTGCCGCATGAGGCGCATCGCGGCGCGCCGCAGGGCCGGGCCCGAGTTCTTGGTAAAAGCGTCGAGCGTCTCGTTGCGGAAGTCGAGCGCCCACTGCTGCGGCGGGCGCGTCTGGGCAAAGTTGTCGCGGTGCAGGATGATGTTGTCCCACGCGTTGCGGTACAGGTTGTGCACGGTGCCCTGTTTGTGCGCGCGCGCGAGAGAGAGAGAGAGAGAGAGGGAGAGAGAGAGAGAGAGAGAGAGAGCGGCGTGAGTGAGGGAGAATGAGGGCGTGACGAGGGGGAGAAGCTGGACGCACGCCGGTGCCGACGATGAGGATGTTCTGGTACCGCAGAGGTCGCACGGCTGCGCCGATGGCGGTGTGCAGGTAAGGGTCGTAGTAGGCGTTGGTCGAGATGACGGTGACTGGCGGCGAGCTCTTGGGGAACATCCAGTTGAGCACGAGAAAGACGTCGTGGACTGGCGGGGGGAAAGACCGAGTCAGGACACGGCGACACGCCTCGCCGAGAAAGAGATGAACAGGGACGCACTCCACTCGAGCTTCGGGTTCAGCTTGGCCTCGATGCCGGCGTCGGTAAGGAGCGTTTGGACCCGCTCGGCGAGTTCAGGAGACGAGTTGATCTGCGAGAGGACCGCGATGCCGAGTCAATCTCTGCCGCTCGTTCTGAGCGGGTAGAAGGGGAGATTCCAGAGGGACGCACCTCGTAGTCGACGTACTTGTCGGGCGTGACCCAGGCGACGGGCTGCTTGACGACGGCGTCTCGACCCGGGTTGCTCGAGATCTCGACGCCCGCACCGCTCACCTCCCAGTGCGCGCCCATGAAGACGACACCCTCGACGTTGCGCGCCATGGCCTCGCGGCCGACCGCCTCCCAGTAGCGCCCGGCGCTCGAGTCCTCGCCGAGCATCATCGTCGAACCGTGCGAGCAGAGGATGACCTGCAGTCGCGAGCAGTGAGCAAATGAGGGCCTCGCGAGCCTGTCGGGATAGACTCACAGGTGTAGGTGACTTTGTCATGTCGAGCGTGCGACAGGTGGCGGTCGAGATGAACGGACGAGGAGGATGAGAAGGCGAAGAGGTCGAGGGGTGCGAGGGCGAGAGACAGGCTGTGGCGTCCGAGCTGAGTGCACCTGCTGCAGCGGTGGCGAGAGTACGGCGCAAAGTGGAGCTGATTGCGAGAAAGCGACGAGCGAAGAGCTTCGTTCCACCTCAGCCGCGCCGGTGGGAGGAGCCGAGCCCGAGCGTGGGGAAGCACGGCCGGCGTGCCGGTCGAGTGACGAGAGCTCCTCCCCCTCGTCCTGACAAGCTCGCCCGCGACAGCTGGTGCGCGCACGATGCTGCCGTACACCGTGGTCGACCAAGTCGCAGGCCCTGGTGGACGCTGGCTCGCACCTGGGCCGCCGCCGCCTGCGCCCGCCTCGCCGACCCCGACCTCCGACGTGCCCTCCCTCTTCACCGCCTTTCGCCGCTCGTACCCACAGCGCTCGGTGCACGACAGCTTCGTGTGGATCGAGGTGCACTCGCACGCCCTGCTGCGATCGCTTAAGGCCGTGTTTCCCTCGCTCGCGAGCCTGTACGACTCGTCGCCGGGGGTGCGTCCTCGTCTCTCTCTCTCTCAGCCTCGGCCGCCTTGAGCGTGTGAGCTGACTCGAGAGGAGCACGCAGATCGATGCACGAGCCGTCTGGGTCCAGCGCGGCAAGCTGCGAGCTTCTGCGGCCGAGGCGAGCCGAGCGACCCTCCTCGAGCTCAGCGCGAGTGCGCGCGGCCACGACTCGCTCGACCCCGTCACCGTCCTGCTCGGCTTCCTGGACGACCTCTTCGCTCCCGAGTGCGTCCGAGACGCACCCTGTCAAGCGCTTCCCGTCGCCTGACGGCGCTGCTCCCACAGCTTCCGCATCCTCGCGACGTACCCGCCCGGGCACGCGTCGTGGCACCTGCTGTGGACATTCTTCGAGCTCGGTATGGAGGTCGAGGCTCATCACGACGTGACAGGCGAGCCGGTACGTCGTCCGTCCTCCTAAGGCGTCGTCTTTCGCTCGTACCAGCCCAAACTGACTCTGTGCTCCCTTCCCTCTCTCGCGCGACACCTGCGCCGCACAGATCGCGCTCGTCCTCGACGAGTGGGAGTATGCGCAAGAGGCAATGGGCCGGTACGTCCCGCCCTTTGTCGCCAACCTCAACCTCGAGGCCCTTCCCTGACGACCCTCGCCCGGGCCCAGGTCGTTCATCGTGCGCTGTCACGGGTACCAGTGGACCGGCGTCAGCTATCATCGGGTACACGTCACGCGCCGGATCGCCGAGTTCCAGGTGCGCCCATCCAGTTTCGTCGGGCGGCGGACGAGCGGGCAGAGCCTGACCCTCCTCTTCCCTCGCGCAGGACCTGCGCAGCGTCTCGACTCTGCCCGTGCTACCTCTCTGCGACGAGTCGAGAAGCCTGCTTCAAGGTGCGTCCCCTCGTCTGCTCTCAGCCTCTGCGGCGGCCGAGACTCACGTCCTTGTCGAGCAGAGCGCGGTCAACGGTACTTGAGCGTGCGCACCTTTTTCTTCACCTCTCTCCCTCCCAGCCTTTCGCCCTGACGCACAAGAGCAGTACGTGACGCGGCCACACGCAGACTACGAGGGCGTCTTCTGCACTCGGGCGTTTAGCGGAGCGTGCGTCGCTCGGTCCGGCCTCGACTCGTCGACGCCCGCACTGACCCCTCTCGCGCCTGCAGCTCTCGACTTCTCGGCAACGGTCAAGTCATCCTCGACGTCAAGAGCTTTCGTCGGTGTAACCCGGCGCTCGACACGTGGAGGTGCGCCCCGTCGCCCTCATCGCGAGCATCGTCGAGGTTCTGACCAAGTTCCCTCCCGCAGTGACGACGAGTCGAGCAAGACGAGCCAGAGCTTCGCGACGCCTCGTTCTTCGGCTGCACGAGCGAGTGTACCCTGTGCGCCCGTCACTGCCGAGCAAGCTCACCTGCTTCCGCCGTCGATCCACGGTTACTCGCTGCGGGCCAAGGTGCGCCGCTCTCGTCCTTCTCGCTCCTCCACACCCTGGCGCACGACCCTGACGACATCTCCCATGCGACGCAGCGGTGGGGAGAGTTCCTCGTCGACCGCCTCACGCCCATCGTCTGGCGCGAGCACAGCTTCGAGCACCTCGTCATCCCGTCGTCGTACCGCCGAGTCGTCAAGGCGCTCGTGTCCGTCCACTCTGGCGAGCTCAAGGGTCGACTCGTGACCGACGTCATCGCCGACAAGGGCAACGGCCTCGTCATGGCGCTACACGGCGCGCCCGGGACGGGCAAGGTGCGCACGAGCCTTCTCTTGCCCTTCCCCACCTTCCTCCCTTGCCCTCGTTTCGGTACTCACCCTCCAGAAGTACCTCGTCGCAGACTTTGACAGCCGAGGCTGTCGCCGAGCACCTCCGACGACCGCTGTACGCGGTCAGCGCCGGCGAATTGGGGCACAACGCCTCGAGCCTCGAGCAGCAGCTGCGGGTCATCCTCGAGGTCCGTCTCACGTGCCTCCCCGTCGCTCTGTCATTGCGAGATGGGGCGCTCACTGTATCTGTTCGTGCGCAGCTCGCGACCGCCTGGCAAGCCGTTTTGCTCATCGACGAGGTGCGTCTCGCCTACCCGCCTGCACCAGCACACGCCGACTGACAATCCTCTCGCGCACAGGCCGACATCTTCCTCGCCAAGCGAGACCCTCTGCATCTGGAACGCAACGCGCTCGTCGGCATCTTCCTTCGCAGTGCGTCCCTCTCTCTCCTCCTGCCCTCACCGAGTGCGTGCACTGACATCTTCCTCATCCTCGCAGTGCTCGAATACTTCTCTGGCGGTGCGTCCACTACGCTTTCGTCTCGTGATCGCCTTCTCGGCTTGCTGCTGACCCTTTCTGTCCGCAGTTCTCATCCTCACGACGAACCGGATCGAGGAGTGCGTCCTCCTTTCCCCCACTTTTTCCCCAGCTCCCGACTCTCACAGCCTGACTCTCGCGCTCCACAGATTCGACGAGGCCTTCATGTCGCGCTTCGCGATCGTCTTGCGCTTTGACGAGCTCGACAAGGCGGCGAGGCAGACCCTGTGGCAGCGGGTGCGTCCTGTCCTTCTTCCCTCTCTCGAGCCTGAGAGCCATGCGCAAGCAGCTCACCTCGTCGTCTCCTGCTGCAGTTCCTGCGCAAAGTCGCCCCTCGACTCGACCTGGGCGCGTTCGACCTCGCGCGGCTCGCGAGCCACCCGCTCAACGGTCGTGAGATCAAGCACGCTCTGCAGAGCGCCCAAGCGCTCGCGCTCATCGACGAGCAGGTCCTGTCAATGGAGCACATAGACGAGGTGTTGAGTATTCGGAGGACGTAGAGACCGCTGGAACGAGCTGGTCCCCCTTGTTCGCCCTCACCCTCGCGCATTCCTTCCTCTGCCTCGCCTGCAGCACACGCTTTTGAGAGACCGAGCGCACAGCAGTACAGCGCAGGGCTTTCAGACGACGAGCGAGAGAGCCAAGGCGCGAGAGCAGCGAGAGCGCGAGGCGAAGGACGAGGCTCGAGCGTTAGGCACCTGCACCTCTCTCGACCACTCTCCTGGCAGCTTTTGCGCAGCGCAGGACGGGCGAAGAGCGACCTTCGATGCCCATACTCGCGGCTCAGAGACTTGCAGCAAAGGTCCCTCGCGAGAGATCCGCAAAAAAGAAGGGCTGGTTCGAGGGCGGTCAACTTGAGAAGGTCGTCGTTGTGGAAGTGCAGCTTGCTGCTCGGCTCGCAAAGACCATCTCTTTCTTCTCGAAGCCAAGTAACTACGTATACTCGACGTCCATTACAGAGCGAGATGACGAGCGGGTCACTTAGAGAAACTACACAGCCAGGAAGAAGTGCGCGAGAGCTGCTCGCTGACCGACGCGCCGACTACCTGGACCTGACCCACTTCGTCACCGCCCACCCGAGCCACCCAGTACCGCCGAGCAAGACCGTGAGGATCGTGCCGAGCGTGATGAAGACGCCCTGGAGGAAAAAGACGCGGCGGATCGTGTGCGCGTGCTTCGTGCGCTTGGCGACGAGCTTGTCCTCGCGAGGGAAGAGAGCCTTGAGCGTGCTGAGGCGAGAAGGCGTGAATGGGGCGAACAGGGCGGCGGGAGGAGGGCGAGACGAGGACGAGGTGGTGGAGAACAGGCGCGAGGTCGTGAGGTAGTGCGAGGGGGAGGTGAGGATGCTGCCCGGGTCGTCTGCGTTCGAGCTGTGTGAGTTACAGGACCTTTGAGGAGAGTGGAAGGCAGCGACGCACACAAGGCGTCCAAGGGAATGTCGTTTTCGTAGACCGCGCTCGCGGTCGACTCGGTCGCGAGGTAGTCGACGACGGCTCGCTCGGGCGCGAAGACATACAGCACGGTCGAGTCGCTGTGGCGAAGACAAAGAGTCAGTCACCCTGGACCGGCGGGATTGAGAAGAGGAAAAGGCGAGCGGACGCACAGCTCGCCGAGCCTGTAGAGCAGGTCCTCGTGGCTGCTGAACGTTTGGACCGGCAGGATTGCTCCTGACGCCGGCGCCGTGAGCAATCGTCTGTACGAGAGAAGGGGGAAAGATGGGTCAGAAGGGCGTCAAGTTGAGGAAAGGACCGGGCGACGCACGCGCTCGGGTCGCTGACGAGGGTCGGGCGGTATAAGTCGTCGTCCTCGCCTGCAGAGCGGGCTCCGCCGCACAGAACTCGCCCACCGGCCTCCTTCTCCTTGCTCAGGCTCGGCGCGTCGTACTCGACGCCGCGGAGCCGGCCGTAGTCGCTCGACAGCGCCGAGTCGCGCCCGAAAGCGTTCTCGAGCTCGCGCAACAGGGCATCGAGGAGCAGCCCTGCCGACTCTTCGTGGACGAATACGCGTGCGACTGAGCCAGGAAGTCGACCGAGGGCGTGGAACTTGCCTCGCACGAGGAGGCGGGCGAGGTCGGCAACTTGGGAAGGCGACGACGACGGCGACAGGCGGTCGACGACAGCCGTCGCACCGGCAGCTCCGGCTGCTGCGACGATCGTGTCGGACAGGGAGCGGCCCCCCTCGCCGCCACTCGAGACCGTAAAGGTGCGGGCGCGTGGGCGAACCGCCTCATCGATCGAAGCGAGCGAGCTGGGCTCGGCGGTCGTGAAGAGGTAGGCGAAGCGGTTGAGGGCTCGGGACAGGACGTCTTGGAGAAGGCTTGAGATCGTCGGGACGGAAGAGGGAAGCTGCAGGTGCGCAAAGTCAGACCTCAGAACGCAAGAGCAGGAAGGGGAACGAGCGCACGAAGCATGCCACCGCGTTGCCGGTCGCGATCGCCATGGCGAGGGGAGCGACGAGCGAGTAGATCGGAGCTGCACGAAGGTAAGAATTGTGAGCGGGAAGGCGTGAAGAGAGATGAGAGAGCGGTCGACGCACCCGCAGCGCTGCTTGTAACGACGACGACGCCCTTGCCCTTCTCGAGCCGACCCTCGGCCTTGAGCGCGACCGCCTTCTTGACCTTCTGACGCTCATAGTCGGCCTCGTCGACCGTGCGCTTGACGAGGGAGAGCGTGAGCGCCAGCTCGCACTGCGCCTCGACCGCCGTGACGCCCGTGTCGCGCTGCAGAGCGTCTTGAAGACGGTCGCGCTCGTCCGAGACGATGTCTGTGGGTCACGGCAGGGTGAGTGACGCTGCCCTCGAAGGATCAAGGCCGAGAGCAGCACGCACTGAAGAGCTTGACGAGCTGGTCGAGGGCGAAACGGGGGAAAGCGACGCTGCCGTCGAGGGCGGCGGCGTGCACGGCCTTGTACTGGGCGAGCGGGAAGTTCGACATCGTTGTTCTTGTCGTTGAAGAGCGACGTAGCGAGAGGCGCGCAGAGCGAGCCAGCGAAGAACGACCGCCGGCCTCGGCTCGATGTGGGAGAGGGCGCGGGGCCGGAGGCGGGGCCCGAACGGCCGGCGGTGGAAGGCCGGGTTTGAGGTGCTTCTGTCGCTCTCGCGCTCGCGCAGCGCCTCACGCACACCTCGAGCCACCGTCAGCACCACCGCTCGATGCCGCCCGCCATCACCAGCGTCGAGACCACGAACGCCGCCGTCGGCGCGAGCAACGTCGCCGGCGTCCTGCGCCTGCGAGGCGACGACCTCGTCCGCCAGCACTCGGCCGCGCAGCAGGAGCCGGCAGCAGCACCGCACAGTCAAGGTCGACGTCCCGACCGCGAGTACCGCGAGCCGTTCGACGGCCCGAACCCAGGTGCGTCCGCCGACACCGCCCTCGAGCCGTCGACTCGGGCTTTCCCTCCCTCTCGTGCGGGCGAGCTGACGCCTCTCGCATCCTGCAGAGAGCTGGCCAGAAGGCCGCGGCGTACCGCACTACCGCCCGCTGCGCACGAACGAGGCCGCGACTCGTCCGCTCGGCGCCACGACCGACCAGCGCGTCTTTGTCACGCTCATGATGTCGGGCGTCTTTGTGCTCGGCAGGGTCCACGGCATCTGGGCGAGTACGGTCGGACGAGTCGCCAACGTGTGGGAGTACCCGGTCGGCGGGCAGTTTTGAGGGAGGAGGGGGAGGAGCGGGCGCGACGATGTTCTCCCAGCCTCGAGCGTTCGTTCTACGTCTGTACAGCGCGCTCCCTTTGTGTACCTTGTAAAGTCACCGCGTTCGTTCCCGTCGTGAGTTCCGCTGAGGAGGGTCGCAAGGCGACGAGGTCCGAATGCAAGTCGACGGGCGTCTCTGCTTCAGGTTCCCTCGGCCCCACGTTGTACTGAGCGCGAGAGCACCTGGGCCTGCCCGTACAGCACCGCTCCCGGCTCAAACTGAAAGGCTCGCTCCGTTGCAGAACGATGAGAGCGTCGTCGCCAAGGCGGCGGGCCTGAGCGCAGCTCGCTTTCCGCGCCGAGTCGCAGGCCCGACTCGCTCTCCCTCCTCGGCGTTGCTGCTCGTTGGTACATATGAAGCGCAAGCTGGGAGCTCAGATCTGGCCGCGAGGAAAGTGATCGCGCGGCTTCTCTCACACGAGTTGAAACGCCGAGGAAGCGCTGTGAGGACCGCCGGGCGGGCAGATCGGACTCCGGTGTCCGGCCGAGAAGATCGTCCGTGTTGCTGCGCGCCGCCCGCGCGGGTGCGAACGCTAACATCAGGCAGGCAGCGCTCTCCTTTTCGACCGCTATGCAGAGTAGACCAGCGGCAAGGAAGCAGCGCAAGAGGAGGCTCGAGCGAGCCACCACGGCGCGCTCTCGTCCGGACCTTCTCGTCTCGATCGCGTTACCCACGGTCTGCTGCTCCGCATCTTCTCCAGGATGCGGAGCTCGCAGCGAGGAAAAAGGCTCGGCGGTCCCCCGATCTATCTGATGAGGCGAGCGCGCCCGACTCGCAGGCTTTTCGGCGTCCGCTCCGAGGCTCGCTCCTCCTCTCTGTCCTCACGCTCGCTCTCCCCCAAGCCGCTCGTCGACCAGCTCTACATCCACTCGGCCCTTCATGGCTCCTCAAGCGAGCAACACCGAGTCGGCCGACGCCATCGCCGCGCTCCCCGCTCTCGCGCAAGACGACCGCCGGGCGGCCCTCTCTCGCTCGTCGTCGGCGTACGACAAGGACAAGCTCGAGTCGGCGTCGACATCCAGCGCAGAACTCGACACGCTCCCGGCCGGCACCAGCGCCGACGGATCGTACAACCCGGCCATCGTCGGCCATCCCTGGCGCGTCAAAGGCCCGCTCATCTTCTGCGTCCTGTTCCTCACGCGTGCGTCCACCTTTATCTGTATCTCGCTTCCCTTGAGCGTACAGACTGACCGTCTCGTGCGGGCAGTCGGGTCCAACTTTGCGTCCTCGTCGCTGTCGCCGCTCAAGTCGACCTTGCGGAAGCAGCTCAAGATCAACAACGCGCAGTACGCTTCGGTGCGTCCTCGTACTCTTCTCTCGCTGCACCTGAGCGCCTGTACTGACGTTCCGAACCACAGCTCGACACGGCCGACTCGCTCATCAACACGATCGTGCGTCCTCTCTCCTCCGCCGTCATGCGCCCTCGCTGACTTGGCCTCGCGCACACAGTTCCCCATCCTGTCGGGCGCCCTCATCGACTACTACGGCCCGATCCGCGCTGCCTTGTGGTCCTCGTCGGTCATTCTTCTCGGCGCCATCCTCTCGGGCGTCGCCGCCTCGGTCGCGTCGTACCCGCTCCTTCTTTTCGGCCAGATCGTCTTCGGGTTCGGCTCGACCACCATCGAGACGAGCCAGAGCGTCATGTACGCGTTCTACACGCTCGGCAGCTCGATGCAGGGCGCCGTCTTTGGCCTCGACATCGCCGTCGGGCGCGTCTGGAACTTGCTCGGCAAGTTGACCTCGGTCCCCATCATGGAGGGCACCGGCTCGTGGACCTGGACGATCTGGGTGCGCTCCCTCTTTCTCTCTCTCTCCGGGTCTCGAGCGCACGTCGGCGGCGCATCGGGGCGAGCGGCGCCTGCCCTTCCTCCCCAGGGCGCTCACTCCCTTTCTCGCTCCAACGCAGGTCAGCGCCATCATGTGCGCCGCCTCGTTCGCCATCACGGTCGCCATTGCCCTCTACTCGCGCACGTTCTCGGCCTCGGCTCAAGTCCCGACCGGTCGTCAAGCCGTCGTCGCCGCCAAGGCTCGCGGCGAGAAGACGGGCGGGTACGCTCAACGCTGGCGCGAGGACCGCAAATTCTTCTTCTCGTCCATCCTCGCCATCCCGGCGTGCTTCTGGATCATGGACATATCGCAGCTGTTCCAATCTGGGGCGGTGTCGGCGTATACGTCCAACCTGGCGGACGCGATCAAAGTCACCCGGAACGCGACGCTGTACACGGCGGGCTGGAACGCCTCGGTCGCGCAGGTCATCCCGATCGTCCTCACGCCGTGCCTCGGCATCGTCTTTGACCGGTTCGGCAGCCGCATGCACTTTGGTGCGTCCGCTCGTTCCTCCTCCTCCTTCTCCTTTTCTCGTCCTGACGGGTCCACCTCCTCTCGCAGTCACCTGGACCGCCTCGCTCTACGTCGTCGTCTTTGCGCTCCTCGCCTACACGAACGTGCACCCCCTCGTGCCGTCCATCCTCGGCTCGCTCGCCCTCGCGACCAACGTCCTCCCCTGGATCTCGTCGATCCCTCTCCTCGTCCCCAATCACGCGCACCTGGGCACGGCGTTCGGGATCTACAAGGCTGTACGTCATTGCGTCTCACTGTCGCGAGTCGCTCGAGCAGGTCCTGACCCCCTCGCTCTCGCAGCTCAACAACTGCGGCTCGGTCGTCGTCAACGTCGCGTCGGGTGCGATCCAGGACCAGGCCGCGCCGGGAAAGAACGAGTACAACGGCGTGTTTGCGTTCCTGATCGTCATCAAGGCGCTCGACGTGCTCTACGGTGCGTCCCGAGTCGACCTTCTCAAACTCGAGGAAGCTCGAGCTGACCTCTCTCCTTGCCCTCCTCGCCCCCTCTCTTCGTCCCTCGCCGCCCTTCTGCCTCTCAAACTTTTTCGCCCTCTCCTTCGTCCCGCGTTCGCTCCTCTCGCGCTTCCTCCCCCTCTCGTCCTCTCGCACCCTCTCTTCCCTTCCTTCCATGCCGCGATGCAGGCCTCATGTACTGGCGCTTCGACGCAAAGTACCTCGGCGGCGTCCTCAACGCGTCGGACCGCAAGCTGCGCGAGATGGAGGCCGAGGCGACGACCGAGGAGCGCGCCGTCGGCCTGCGCGCCCCGATCCGCAAGGTGACGGTCGTCGCGCTCGCGACTGTCGGTGCCATGATCGTCGTCGCTTGGACGCTATACTTGTACTACTCGACTTAGAGCTCTCTTGAGAATAGAACGCAGTTCTCTCGGCCTCTCGGTCGTCGCTCGAGCAGTGAGAGAGAGTGCCCCATCGTCGTGAACACAGCCAATACAGCGAGCCTCGCTCAGCTACTCAAACCCGCCCGTGCGCCGCTCGAGCCCCACTTCGCTCGCGCGCGCCCCGCTCACCCACCGCCCCTCATCGAGTTGCTGCGCTCGAGCCCAGGCGGCCTCAACGCGCCGCTCTCGCTCCGCGCGTCAAACGTGAGGAGGTCGGAGAAGCTCTCGGCGCGGATGCGCGCGGGCGAGTGCTCGTCGCTGCGCGCGGCGGCGGCGGCGGTTGACGAGCGAGGGTCCGGGTGCGGGTGCGGCGGGGAGAGAGGCGAGAGGCAGAGGGAGAGACGTTGGGGAGAGGAGGAGCGTGAGGACGAGGGCGTCGAGCGGCGTGTCGAGGCTGGGCGAGAGGAGGACGAGGATGAGGGCGAGGTGGACCGGTCGGGCTCGCGCGAGCTCGTGCTCGTGCTCGTGCTCGACAGCGAGCGCGCGCCCTCTGCGCCGTGCGCCCCGTCGGCGGCAGCGTCGCTCATCGTCGACGACGCCGACGCCGACGACGCGACGCTGCGCGCGCTCGACTCGCGCGAGCGCGGCGCTCGCGCCGCCTCGTCGTGCCCGAGCTGTCCCAGCGACGGCAGCGGCGCCGTCCTCGCGCCGTACAGCGCCCTCCTCCCCTCGCCCTTGTCCCCCGCCGCCTCGCCCATCCTCGTCGCCCATTCCCTCTTGGCCCCCTCAACCACCTGCACCGGGTCCCTCACGCCGCACGCCCTCCTGACGACGCTGCGCCACGACTGTCGGCTCGCCTCGCGCTCGCGCTGCACGCGCTTGGCCTCGGCGCGTCGGCGCTCCCACTCGGCGCGGTACCGCTCGTAGCCCTCGCGAAAGGCGCCGCTCACGCGCGACGAAAAGATGAGCTCGCCGCGCGGGTTTTGCGCGGGCGGGATCGGCGGGAGCGGGATCCCGGTCGCTGTCGAGGAGGGTGAGGGCGAGGGGCGAGCGGGAGGGGGAGGGGCCTGCGTGACGGGGTCGGAGGGGTCGGGGAGGGACGGGAGGGCCGGCGAGGGGCGTCGAGAGGGCGAGTTGGGCGGCGAAGCCGAGGGAGACAGGGGTGGCGAGACGGGCGGCGAGCGCAACGCGCCCGACGACGTTGACGACGACGGCGACAAGGAGCGGATCGACGAGGTGGACGACGCGCCGCTCGAGGTGCGCGACAGGGCCGTGCCGCTCGAGGATGGCGCCGACGAGCCAAACAGGCGCGCGAGCGACAGGCGCGAGCGGTGGCGCGTGTTCAAGTAGATGTTGAACGGTCGCAGGGCACGGTTGGCCTGCGGGACGAACCTGTGCGCGCGAGGGTGGGCGGGTGGGGGTCAGCCAACGGCGCGCAGTGCGACGAGGGGAGAAGAGGAAGCGCACTTGTGGGCGTAGGCGATCTTTTCGCTGTACATGCCCGTCGCAAAGAAGAGGACGAGGG